CCCTCCCGAAATCCACATATTAATCCGATGTCACTGGACAGAATTATTTAGTGTTACCTTTAAAAGGAAACACGCTGTATTTAAATAAAAGTAAAATGTAACATCATATTTTTAAAAATGAATTTGCATATTCGACATTAGCAGCCAATGGTACAGAGTGATCGTTTTAACAGTGAACCTTTATCTCGATATTTTATGCAATGATTTTTTTTTTCTTTTAGTAGGTACTTTAATACAAATCTCTTGAAGTGTAAAATGTGTTTTAAAAAATGTAAATTAATCATTGTTAAAAAATAATTTTGAGTATTATTTTTATAATTTAGTTTATCGTGAAAAATTTTAAAGTTTATGTATATATATATTTTTTTAATTTGTCAGATACTTACAATGATATTGTATTAAGGCCGGCAGATTTCATTTTACGTATACGATCTCTCCAATAAGGTCTAGGCACTCGAAAATAATGCACTGATCCCGAAACATACCGGAATATATTGCCATCTTTGATGAATTCATTTTTTTCATAGTCAACATAAAACCTCTTGTCACTACTCTAAAAATGAATATGATACAATAATATATTATTATTATTTTTCTATTAAAAATGCAAACTATGTTTGAGTATTGTTATTTATTGTCTATATCCATCTAGTAGATTATGTAAATATAGTAACTTATATTATAAATAGGTAATAAAATAATTATGTTTAAAACTTACTACATATTCAAAGTAAAATGACAACAATAACGCTAAAGAACAATACACTGAAATAGTAGACATTTTAATACAACTAATATTCACTTGATCGTAACTGCGTTAATTTTTCACTAGTTAGGCAGTTAGATTTACAACGACTAATAGTAGAGTAAGTTATTCAACACCACATTATATTTGGTTATTGCGATACAGCACGACTAGTGGGAAAATATATATATATATATATTTATATATTTAAATTCTTCAAAATTTAACTTAATAACGAAACTCAGGTCTAGAATCTTAAGACAGTAGTTACATAATTTAATTGAATTTAGTGATTGAGTTGACATTATTAAACAATTTACAACAATAAACAACACGGGTACATATGGTTTTTGAATTGGCTTTAATAAATAAATATTTTATAGTATAATATACCTATATTCTGTATCAAATGAACAATATAAATTTATATTGTTTATTACTATAGTTTAATCGTTGAATCGATTTTTTAAGTTGTTTTGTGTATTTCATATTTTTCAAATAATAATCATTCATCGATGAACACAAAATCTCAATCAAATAAATAGCAGTTATTCATGTAGACAACTAGGGAAAATTCGGTATAACATCAACTTCTTGAAATCTAGAAAATTATCCATCTAAATATTGTTTGTCGCTTTAATTTTGTATTAAACGGCCTTGTGTATCAATTCACATCGATCGTCAATATAACGATTTGTTTTAATTTGTTTTTATGGTATTGTACCAGCCTTTATAAAAATAATTGTTTATTAAAAATGTATTATCATAATATTTATGAACCTGATACGTGTAGCGGACTATGGAAGGAATTATGTAATATTACCTACATCTCTTCAATGTTTCACGCAGGTATAACAACAGATAAAATTCAGTCAAATTATGAAATTCATTCCGACCGGTTTATTTAAAAATGGTTAATGTTTTTAAAAAAGTTGATAAACTTTCACCGAATGAAACTGAGTGAGTATTGTTTACATTCTTTATTATGATTGTTTTACAACATATTACATAGTTTTTAGTATGCTCAAATATAAACTAATATATGAAAACCAAAAAAATACCTTTTCAAAGTGCTACTTTTGAAGTTATAATAATAACACTATTGTAAAATGAACGCATCGAACGCTTCATTATAATAATAATTTTTAGTTAACCTAGTAATAATACAATATATAACTGTACGTTTTATATTTGTCTCCAAAATTGTTGGTTAGTAATAATAATAATTTGTTTAGTAAAATTAAATGAATATTACCATCGCTTCTAAAACGTTTTTTTTTTTTTTTTTAATGATAAAGTCTATGTGCCTAATATGTATTATGTACCTGTTATAACCAAAGGTCAAAAAATAAAATCCTTATATTTTTTGAGTTTTAATCATTTGTTTATTTTCTTGAATTTTAAGGTATCACTAGTTATTTTACTTAAATTGTTTTTATTGCTTATGAAAATGGTATTGGTGTACAGGTTKTGTAGAAAATAAAAACAGATACATAATATTCAACTAATAGTAATAATATTACAATAATAATCATGTATGATAAATTAACGATTAGGTATACGTCAAAATTCAGTACTATATTAAGCAGATGGTACCTACGATACGTAACCAAATTTACTGATCTGATTTATTTAGGAAGTTTTTCTATTCTTTCATAAGATATTTTCTTCTGACATTCCTCAATAATATGCCTGATAGTTTTTACCTGTCACAGTTGCAGAGAGATAGGTAAAGTATTTAGCATTCGCTCATCAAATATTTTCACTTATACCTTGCTCTGTTCTTAATCAGTTGATACACATCAAATATAGTATACCTACATATTGCACGTAGTTGGTATTAAAAAAAGTTAATAATTGGGTTGGATGTTCTACATTATTTATGTACTAAAAAAAACTTAAATATGTAAACTAATATAGACACTGGTTGATATGTATTACGTAATTTGATTACGTGATTTCTTTAAATAAAAATCTGAAACAGTCAATTTAATATTATCAAATATATCGATATTAATTACCTAGAAAAAAAATAGTAAAAAGTCAGTAACCTCCGAAAAACCAGGTGCAAATTAATAGAGTTTGACTGATTGTACCTAAATATTAATTTTTGTTCCACCTTGATTATACTATTATTACACAAACTAATGTATCCCTCGATAATTTTCAATTAATGATATTATACATAAGTACCTACACCATAATTTGAATACATGACTTCAAAGTCTACATTTCTGTTATTAAAAGATAACACTCAGCATCGTAGTCATTGGGAGAAATATTTTTTATTTACTTATAGAAATAATACATATTAATAATAAAGTTATATAACAACAAATGTATAAAGGTTATATGAGCTTTAACTTTAAGATAGTATTATTCTGATGTTAAATTAGTTTAAAAGTCAAATTTGTAATTGATAATAATCAATAAATTACTATCAGATGTTTAGATATTACATAATATTAAATGTGTTGTACGCATACTGTCGTTTTCAAAATAAATCAAATGAAATTCTAATTCACAGAAATGATTAACATTTCGTACTAAATATTTTCATATTTTACTATAAACTTTTTTAAGAACATATCCTTTTTTATTAGTTAMGCTATTATTATTTTATAATTTCTAAACTTTAAATACATTTTAAGACTTCAATAGTAGGTAGTATCTTATAATTTATATGAATTGTAAGATACCAAACCACTATAAATAGTTCCAAGAGATGAAAAAAAAATTGATTATAGTTATAAGTTATAACTGTAATAACACTAATAACTAATAACTTATAAATATTAAATTATTTTTAATTATATGAATGATTATGATGTATTGAAATTGAAATCAGAAACATTTATGTTCTAGTCCATTACTAAGATCCAATGCAGCAATACAACCATTTTGGAAGAAACCATGGTTTACTCTTTTTATAGTTATATTAATAATTGTTGTTACTTCAACCATTATTTTATACATATTTTACCATAAAAATGGTTCACCAAACGCTAATGAGACGGAAGCAAATGTTGTTAGATTTGATGCGGCAACGTTATCGCATAATCCTTTAAATTTCGAGTTCAAATCCCATCCAACATTTAGGGTGTTGAGTATAGCAACAACTAATGGAGATTACTTCAAAAAATGTGCGCCGGCCGTAACCTGTAACCCAGACGATAAATACAGAACATTCAATGGCTCGTGTAACAATTTGCAGAACCCTAACTGGGGTGCGGCTTTAACACCATTTTACAGATTGATGAACGCCGAGTTCAATGATGGTAATAAATGATAATAATAAAAAGGAGCATATATTTTTAAACGCATGAAATAAAAAATAAATACCTACATTAATTGGTATTTACCTATTTGATTTACTAAAAACATAATATAAATAATAAATTCTCTAATTAAAAATGTTAACATTAATTGATTATAATATTCTTAATTTTCAATATCCATAAAGTATTTATATATTCTTACATTTTCTGCGTACTATATTTAAGTATTGATTACTGTAGTTGTGATATTATGGAGGTTTGTTATAAATACTAAGTTCTAAACTATTATTGTGTTGAATTTATTCAGGTAACAATACGCTTAGAGTTCAATTAGATGGAAAACCATTGCCTAGTGCTAGGCAAGTAGGTGTGAAATTATTTTATATGAGAGATATTCGTAACTACGATCATGTCAATAATGAGTTATTAGTTCCATGGGGACAGTTTTTGACACATGATATATCGTTCTATCCTGATGATATACGAAATGCGACTACTCCAGGTAGTAATTTATTAATATAAAATTATTATTTATATAATTACAGAATGTAACAGAAATACCTGACGAATAAAGAATGAAAAATTTATACTGATTAATATATGAAAAAAAGTATTAAAATTGTATGAATAATAAAGTATAAACCATTTAACCCTTTAATTATAACTTGTGTCTGAAAATCACAACAAAAAAAATGTTGAAAACAATCTTATTCATATTTCGAATTAGTTTACTAAAATACCTTATTGATATTTAAAAATTTGTTTAATATAAGCTACTTTACTGAAATAAAAGAATTTACCATCAACATTTTTGTAAAAATTGGCTATCTTGATTAGAACAAAAGTTATTTTTATTTTTCAGGTCATTCATTTACACATATAACTGTAGGACGTAGGTGCATATATTTTTTAAATGTCTGTATGTAATAATCATAATAATATAAATAWTAAATATAATTTTAATAATATTAGATATTGCTTGATAGATAGCGCCACTATTGTATACTTAAAACCACTTATTTTACCTTTAGAGGTTGAATTTCCAAAAATCCTTTCTTAAAGCACGGTGAAATTATAATATTAATCCATCCTGAAAATTTCAAGCAKATCTGCCCTATGGTTTAGGCTCTGCGGTGATCCCTCCGGAGGACTATTCTATATATATAAAGGAATTTGTATATATAGATTATATAAAAAACCTAAATGTTGTCCAATTGTATAATATTATAAACTTAGAAACTAATAATTGAATAATTTCACACCTTTTAATATATTTAAATTTAGAAAATTGTAATTTTAGCTGATTTGGATCACTGTTATGAAAAGGATAAGTCCAAAATTCCATTTGAATGTGAAACCGCTATACCGATAGCAGCAGATGACCCAGTATATAGCCATTATAATGTAACACTGTTTAAATTTGTTCGATCTGCGACTTCAGTGAATTTTAGCTGCCCTTTAACACCTCGAACTATTGTAAGTATTAAAACATTTTTTAATTATTCGATATATTTTTTTTTTTAATTTACACATGTGATAATAATAATAATTATTATTTATGAAATAATTTTAACCCATAAATAAAATAAATATTAAAAAATATTTTTAGTTCAATAGAAATACACAATATATAGATGCATCACACGTATACGGTTCAAACAAAAAGACAGCTGATGGTCTTCGGACATTTTTGAATGGTAAACTTAGATCACGGATATTGGAAAACGAAGAGTATTGTCCACAAAACCCTGATTCCGAATTCAAAGATGGTCCATTAGGAAAATCTAATGTTCAATTCGCCGCAGGTAATTTGAATTTAAAATAACAAAATGCAATATAAATCATTAACTTGTGAAACCATTTTTTACAGGCGATATCAACGTCAATCAGAATTTGGCCATTGCATTGTTTCAAAATTTATTTTTAAGGTATCACAATCATTTGGCTGACGAAATACAGACATTAAATCCATCATGGTCCGACGAAAGAGTTTATCAAGAAACACGCAGAATCGTAGGTGCAATCATACAAGTTATAACCTATGAACATTTCTTGCCAATTATTCTAGGTAAAAAAAATGTATTTAAGTCTAAACGAAAAATGAAAAATAAAACTATATAAACATATTGAATTTTGAAAAATTATACATATACATAACTGCACATAATAGTATACATAACAAAAAACTAAAAGCATATTTTGGGTATTAATAATATATCGATTTAATAATCATTAAATAAACGATAAMATATTATTGATTTGGATCAATATAAATAAATTCAAGATGTCTAATCATTTTAGGAGACGCATACATGAAAGAGTATGGACTAGTTGGACAGACCAGTTATGATCCTTCAATTAATTCGGCTTTAGCACAAGAAATGACAAGTGGTGCATTTCGAGCTGTTCACAACATTATTCCTGCTAAATTCAAGTATACATTTTTAAACTATGAAATAAAATAAATTATCCATTGATTTATCATAATTATCAGCTTAATGACTGCAAATTATTCAATTATCGATGAAGTAGAGCCTTCAAGAGTGTTACTGCAGCCAGACTTGCTTATAGGAAATTTCGATAACATGTTACGAGGGTTCTTGGAAACGCCAGGTCGAGCTGTACAACCATCCTATAATAATTTGGTAACATTATGAAATGTTATATCTTATTATTATTTTTAATATTATTACTGTATATACAATAATAATTTCAGATTACAAATGTTGTGTTTAAAATACCGAATTTGGATGGATACTCGGGATTTGATTTAATGTCTTATGATATTCAAAGGGGCAGAGATAATGGCCTACCACCATATAACAAAATGAGACACATTTGTGGTTTAAAAAAAGCAAATCAATTTAAAGAATTATCTGATCTAATCTCTTTAGAGGTAAAATCATTATGTACCTTTCTTAACGGATTTTTAATTATCAATATCATTCTTTCATTATAATTTGGATAAATATATTTAATATTCAAATAATACCATTCCATTAAATTTTTATAATTATTCAAGATTATACTATTTACGGGTTTTCTTATATAATATAAAAATGATATTGTTATAAATTATCTTTTATTAGGATATTGAAATTTTGAAATCACTTTATTCTACTGTGCACGACATAGACTATATTGTTGGTGCCCTCTTGGAAAAACCTAGAAACGGATCAATGGTTGGTCCATCAACTGCGTGTGTAATTGGAGACAGTTTCTATAGGTTTAAAGCTGGTGATCGTTTCTTTTATGATGTTCTAGGACAACCAGGAAGCTTTACCCCGGGTACATAAAAATAAGCACACACTTAACACACATTTTACATACCTATATATTATATTATAACAACGGCCAATCGTCTTACAATTTATTTTTTTGTTTTCTCAGAACAAATTAAATCCCTGAAAAAGATCACTCTTAGTCACGTTATGTGCACATCATCAAATTTGGACCACATGCAAAAGGAAACATTTAGATTTGTTGACCATAAGTAAGGGTTATTTAAAAAATATTGTAGTAATGTAAAAAAGAGGAGAACATGTAACGTATATGTGCTTACCTCTTTTATGTATATTATTTATACACTCTAGATTACTACCTTCTTATGTACATACATGTATACACATGCAAATGCATATATGCATATAAGGTTTTTTATTATTTATACTTTGAATTAACTTACCCCACTTCGACTGAAGTCTTTTGAGTGTTAGAGTAGAAATAGGTTCAACACTAATTAATTTATAATTCAATATTAATACACAACTGTTAATTTAGAGATATATAAAAAGAGCATTTATTATTTGAGACATAGAAAAATTACATTTTAAATATCTTAAGTCGACTCGCCACGCATGTCTGACGCCAAGGGTGTACGCAGGGAGAGTGACGTTGCATGTATCTGGCCGAAGGTTGAAGGGTATCGTCCGAGCACAGATATAACAGATTTTTGTATAAAAGGAATAACAATATATGACCACAGATATTTATTATAATCATAATAAACACTATAAACATCTATGTGGCTCTATAATACCATATTATTATTATATAATATATTATGTTGAGGGACATGATGATGACACTCTTTTTAGTATAACATAGTTGTGAAGAGTGGCTATCATTACAATATATTATATACAATTATATATAATATGCAATATAAACTTGTATTTTAACATTTTTAGGTGGATGTCAAGTATTAAGTATAGCTGTAAATCATTTAAGATGGACTTATCACCATGGAAAGAAATTTAATAATAATTGTATTATAACATAACTAATTTTAATATAATATTGTGCTTTTTGAATTTCGGTGATTTTACAATAAATATATATAAACAAAAATAATTTATTGTCTTTATCTTTAAAAAACATATCTTGTTCAATCTCAACACATATTTATACTACATTCATAATACTACTATCAATATAATATTATTTATTTTAGATTAATATGACGTAACCTTTTTTTTTTTTCTGTTTGAACCGACAGCAGGGGAGGATCTGTGTGAACATTACTACTCCCCTGCTGCCATTGTTTATTAATGTTTAATTAAACGCTAATACCTATACATACAATATGACGTAACCTAACCTAGATTGGTATGAGGAGTATAATAAATCTATATACCTAGTGATATTATGTTTTCTAAATCACTTAGTTTGACGTGTTGATTGGTTGTTATAATGTTATTGGCATCTGTTTATGAAAAAGGATAGCATTAAAAATAGAATGTTTGTATAATTRACTACGTAAACCGAATATAATATAATATTATAATGCACTCTTCAGTGATTTATCATTTTTTCTACTATATAGGTGAAGTTAATTCTCAACATATTATATTCTTGCGCAATAAAATGTTTTTTATAATAAGAAGTAATCCACGTCATCGTGGATAGGTAATATAGGTGCATTAACTTATAATTCTTAATGCTCAAATTGTGTTCATACATTTTTAGATTTTTAGATTATAGTATGAGCTACTAATGAGAAACCTTATTATACATTTTCAAATTATAGTTATAACAACTGAACATTTTATTTTATTTAGAAAATAATTTTTAACACATTTACATTTTTATATCAATTTTTGAACTGTGGCACGTGTCAWTATACACTGATGATTTTCGTGATATCGTACAATATTTGGGAAAACATCTTAAATCAATTCTTCTGCAGTTGCTTTGATTTTAAATCAGTTTATTCACAATTGATACATTGTTTACCTACTATATAAATGATACTATTATACCTAATAATGGTTTCCATTTTCTCATTACCGATATTCAACAATTGTCATGTAAAAAGTTCAGCTGATGCATTATGTTATAATTGTACGAAAATATTGGTCTTCAGAGTCATTWTAATCACATGCAAATTTAATTCCTGAATTTTAGTTCATTGCATGCAAGTGATATACCTACTAGTTTTATTTGTCAGAAACCGTTAAACGTCAGTGAACGGTTCAATACACAATGATATTCTAAAGTTAATATTTTATAATTTTAACCATTTAAATGAACTAAAAAAGATTCGATTTGCGTAAACTGAAAAAGAAACTTATGCGTCAGCCACCCTATAGTAACTTATATGGACTGAAAACGAAAGTTCGAACCTTCCTCGAATCTCAAGGAATCTATTTATATAACTGTTATTAAAGATAGTCGAATAGTTTTAGATTCTGATCGGGGTGATGAATGTATTGATTTTWCAATGATGTGTGTTTTTTTTTTGTTTTTGTGTCAGTGTACAGCATAACTAGTCGAAATAATGCTTCAATTTCAAACTTTGGGGGTGGTTTTCGATGTAAAAGTGAATATCCTTGGTGCTTTATAGAAGTCAAAAGTTAACATTTTCCAACAGTTTTCAAAAAAATCGATTTTTTTATATGGTTGTTATTCAAAAACTAATCACTTTAAATATTTGAAATTTTCACTAAATGTTTATGTTAGTGTTATCTATATACAGTTTAATTTTCAAAATGATTGACTCTTTTTTAGATATTTATAGACCACTGCAATTTTTGATTTTTATGAGAACTTTTTTTGAAGTGTCAGTAAAAAAATTTTACATGACCAAAAAAACTTGGAAATTTAATACAAGGTTCCTTATGAGTTGTTCATATTCTAGCTAAAAAAAATTAAAAATCGTTAGTCACGGTTTTTTTTTATAAGCGTTTATAGTTCAAATTTTTACGATATCTGTCGAAAACGCGAAAATTTGCAAGTAATTTTAAAGTTGAAAAATCATAAAATTTTTTGCGTTTATAACTAAGGATTARAAATACAACACTAAGTTTTCCATAAGTTTTCCTTCRAGWAGATATAGAGAAAACTCGAAGCGTCATTATAGGAAAAATGTTTTGAGTGTTTGAGTTTTAAATTTTTATGAAATCAGGTATATGTATATCTATGATAATATAAGGTATAGTGAAATTATGATAACTGCATGCAATGTTTTTGGAAAAATTGATTAATCTGCGGGGCCAGGTAAATTGAGTCCGAGATAAGTTTGGTACATTTTGAAAGCGGTAAATTGAGTCCCGGGAAAAATAGATAGTAGGTAAGTTGAGTCCCTGAAAAAATAAGACAGTAGGTAATTTGAGTCCCATGGAAAAACRATTTATATGCATTTAAAATTTAAAAATGTGCACTATAAAATTTTTATTTGTGATTTGTGGACATTCATTGAATGCATGTATATGATTTTGAATATTGCAACATGCATTTTTATTGCATAAAAAATAATTATATAGTTAATAAAAATGCATGTTGCAATATTCAAAATCATATACATGCAGTCAATGAATGKCTACAAATCACAAATAAAAATTTTATAGTACATATTTTTAAATTTTAAATGCATATAAATCGTTTTTCCCTGGGACTCAAATTACCTACTACCTTGTTTTTTCTGAGACTCAACTTACCTACTACCTATTATTCCCCGCGACTCAATTTACCGAGTAAGGGTCATTTGGGACTCAATTTTCCAACTTCGAATCATGCCTTATGCAAAATGCGTCCTAATTGAAAAATAAAATATTTGTTTCAAAATAGAATATACGACAATATTTAAATATAATATATCCTAGATTGACAAATCATCTCCGTTCAGAATCGTTTTTCGTATAGGTACAATGATACCTATCATTGCATTCAAATCTAACTTACCCTAGTCAGAGGTCCACCCCACCACTTAATGTACAGCAGAGCGACACCCACTTACCCGCTTTTTTAATTTATAGAGGACAAACAAACAATTACCTACCTTAATCGTTTTAGTATACATTAAGAAGGAATAGTAAGAAGAATTTACATAAAATGTACTAATAATAAGTTACTTACTATAAACAATTAATATTAAAATGTTAGTAGCTCAATCATTGAGTAAAAGAGTTGATGTACTAATTGTATTATATGGTTAAAAAAAATAAATATTTGTTTTTAGTTGAGTTAAGTTAATATCTTTTTTCTTTATTAATGTTAAACATTTATTGTTAAATAAACTAGGAATTTGATAAATATATTAAGTTATATTGCTTAACATAGGTAGTTATCAACATTGACCTATCAAAACTATCTCAAGTTAACAACTAACCTGTGATGAATATTTTAATAACTAGTACATAACATGTACACTACACAGAGAAATAATATTTTCAAAAAAAAATATATTATTCTAAACCATAAATTAGAACTTAAACGATATGCATAGAAGGGTCAAGTTAATACATGATGTATATATTTAATAACACCTTAATAAAAGACTAATTAACTAAAAAATAATTAATTCAATATGTTGAAATACAATTTGTGGTAAAAAAAATAATATGCATTTTTATGGTAAAAAGAACCAGAGGTACATATTTACAAGATTTAAATAGTTTTTGTTGTGATTAAATAATCAATGAAAATAAAATAAATACATTTTTTTTTTCGTACAAAAAAATTAGTGAAGTAATTAAGATTAATATTTATTGAATTCTGTGAATTAAATACATTATTTGAACATTGCTCTGTAGCTGGTATATTTATAACGGCAAGGATGTACACAATATATTCATTTATTATCTAAAGTGTTGCTTTCAAGTAAACATAAATTATATGTGGTGTATTAAAAGAATAGAAAACTAAAAATTAAATATATAAGATTTAGTTGGTATTTTGCTTAAAGTATATAATTGTTAGAACGGAATCGCCAATATTTTTCTAGCTATAAAAAAGAATTTCAAGTTAAATGGTCAAATTTCGTGTTTCAGTGAATTAAAAAAATAAAACTTCTTATTGTCCACGATCTCTGTGAACACCCGATAGGCTTTTAATACTGATATATTAATTAAGAGATGTATTTCGTTTGTAGTTATTATATTTATTTAACATCCTACCTTCTAAGCATCATTAAATCAATTGTTATTGATATACCTAACTCGATCTATAATTATCTTATCATATTAAAAATACAACAGATATAAGTGGTGATAATATATATATGTATATGTTTGGTTTCTTAATAGGTTTGTAAAATCAATAAATATATTACCAGTATCAAATAGTTTGATCTAAACCGTTCAATGAGTTGTGTATATTAATTTTTTCAATGAAGTAAAAAACCAAATTGTTTTATACACTTTTGACTTTTTAATTTAATTAATTTTGTTAAGTATAAAATCCTTTTGTTTTAATTTCCAGAGTTATCTATATGAATTTATCAGTTTTTAGTAATTTTACATAACCATCGTTGCTAACTTAAGAGGGTAAATCCCTAAAATATGGATTCATCGTCTCAACGTGATGAAACCCAGTAATTATTATGATACAAATAAAATATTTAAATTCATTTTATTTATAATGTATATAGTATTATGAATGCTAATATTAATTTTACAGACATAAATTGTATTATATTAATACTTAATTAAATTTAAATAATTGTTTATTATGAAATGATAATTATTCTCGTTTTAGACCATTGTTAAATCAAAGGAAATCGAAAGTTAAATGGAACTATAAACTGCTTAAGTGGTCTTTTAATTGGATTTTATTCGGATTATTATTACTTGGTGCTATTTATATTTTATACGTTTTCATTAAGTATGAAATACAACCTAAATCCAGTTACACCATTAAGGTAACTTGATTAAAATTACCATACGTACATTTTCAATAGAAAATATTGTGTTAGACAATTTAGGTGATAAACTTGTGTAGAAATAAATATTTAAATATTTAGTAATCTACGGCGATATTTAGAGTATTTTATAAATACAATACTAAATACTCATACTAATATATTTTTAAATAGAATTTATAGTATCTCTTCTTRTTCATAAAAAAATTCAAGGACTATACATTTTTTTTAAATAAAATTGTATTTTTTTGTGAATAGTAATATCATTGTTTCCAACAATAAAAATTCTATAGGATTTTAAATAATAATAATCAAAACATTCTTGTAACAAAAAAATACTCTTCTATCGTGTCGTGTGTCTCTTACAATAATCAATTTGACGATTGTAGTTGTGGTATCATTCATTAATCATAATTATTTATACTGGGAAATATCCAGATTTGGCCTGAACTCAATTTTTGGAGACGAAACGATGAATAATATTGCTGTCTTTATAGCTATTGAAAGCTCGGTATAATTTAGGAAAATTTTTTAACCAGTTAAACCTTCATTGTTCATTGTAGGTAACTTTATGCATTTCCTTTAAAGTTGTTTCCTTGAGTATGTATTATACTTGAAAATTTTAACTATCTATAAATACTTAAGTACCTTAAGTACATATACGTCACACAAATGTTAAAACAAAATTAAAACTTACAATTCAATCATGATACTAATTACTWATGAGGTTCTCGATCAAATACTTAATTTTTAAAGGATACATATTGAATACAAATACATATTATATAATTTATAAAACTACACATCTTCATATTAATTGTTATACAAATTTATAATTACCAAAATAATTTTGTAAATTATATGATTTAATGTATAAATAAATTAAAATTTACTACTTTGAAATTAAACATAACAGAGTTAAATGAATTATTCAGAATGTAAAATTTGTTTGTTAAATGTTTTTAAGACGGATACAATGCGTGTGGTTATAACGTCATATTAGTAATTACTATAGTCATTAAATATTTATTTAAATTTTTGCTAAAAAAATAAAAATATAAAACTTCTTAATTTGACTTACCTTCGATTTTTATAACTGTTGCATAATTCATATACTGTTATAGACAAGAAATTCTCATCATATTATAAGTATTGCAACCACAAATGATGATTACTTAAAGCAATGTGCTCCTCAAGTGAAATGTAATCCTTTCGCTAGATACAGAAGCATAAACGGATCATGTAATAATTTGAAAATACCTACGTGGGGTGCAGCAGAAACACCATTTTTTCGTTTGCTGAACGCTAATTTTAGTGATGGTAATATCATTATACAAGTTTAAAGTAATAAACAAATGGTAAATGAGTATTGATCTTGTATTCTGTGTCTATAATATGACACCTATAAATAAAAATAAATAGAATATTGTTTATATTCATAATAAATAAATATTATTGTTATTCAATATATAATAAAAAATATCTATATTTTAATAGACTATATAATTTTTTTAGGTGGAAATATTAATTAAAATAATATTAATAAAATCTGACATAAACTAATGTACCTATATATTATTATTTTGTCTTAATATATATTTAATATATATTTAATAATAAATAGTTTAATAATATTATAGTAAGATGAAAATTCAATGTTGATTAGGTTTGAATGTTTGAAGCCATGATTATTTTTTTAAGGTTTTTATAAATTTCGACTCCAAACAAATGGAAGTGCATTACCTAGTCCCAGAGTGGTCAACATTAAAGTCTTTTTGAATCAAGAAATATATCGAGTCGATGAAAATAATGTACTTTTATTACCGTTTGGACAATTAATAGCTCATGACGTGTCAGGCCTGTTTCTTGACATTCCAAAAAATGACAACGGTACGTAATCGATTTTCAAATAACATAAATCGTTAAATTTCATGATTTGTATAAAATTGTATTTTAAAAAGATTATTTAAATTGTTTTTTTTTTTTTTGAGTGTGCAGGTGTAGTGATTGATGGTTGCGTCGACGAAAATGCAAGAAAAACATTCACACAGTGTCAAATGGTAGTTGAAAATCCACCTGACGACCCTGTTTATAGTAAGCATAACATATTTTGTATGGGACTATTCCGTTCGTTAACGTCGAGAAATTACAGCTGTCCGTTATATCCCACAACGTTTGTAAGTAAAATATTAATGTTTATGGACAAAATTACATAGAGTACGTTGATAATAGTAATAATGGAAATTTCAGATTAACAATAATACTCATTTTATTGACGCATCTGAAGTGTATGGGTCGGATGAGAGTTACGCAAAGCATCTTAGAATGATGGAAGGCGGAAGACTTAATTTCTCAATAAGCAACAATGGGCAAATGTTCTGTCCATACTTGGCCAACAAAAATTTAGACCTTACCGTACATAAAATAAGTGACGTCGAATATGACACAGGTTAATACAAACTTTACGTCAAATAGACGTAGTTATTATAAATGTTAGTTATAGGTATTCAATATTCATTCCTCGAATCACTGTGTATAATAATATATTATACTCATTTTTGGTCAGGAGATATCAAAATTATTACTTAACTAAAGTCAAACTATTTTTATTATCGATTAAAATCATCAATTAAGTGTTCTAAAGCATTCCGTATTTATCAATTAAAGGTGGTAGTAGTCATTTTAGGAAAATACTTGGAGAACCAGTTTTCACATTTTAATACTAATCTCGCATATTTTATATGCAAATCCACGTCCATTCCGGCGTCCTGACTTTCTGGTGTTCCAACATATAAAAATTTAATAAGAAAATATCTGAATAATAAATAAGTTCAAAAATTATTATTTTTACAATCAATTTTTCGATCATTCTCWAAACATTCTAAATACTATATTTTAATATCTCAACATCTCAACATTATGTAATCACGCTTCGATGATAATGTTTCATAAACACTAGGGCTTTTTAAAATATTAATTTATTAACACATATGTTGTTTAAACCCTCACGAAAGTGATAGTATTTATTGTGATTCTCATCATGCTGATCTATTGATCTTCGTACTCAAATCCTCCAGTAAAATCTTCGTACGTGAAACTGGATCATGTTTTCCCTAAAAATCACCTCCTGCTCCTCAAAATGCACCATTGAATTAACATCTGTGAAAGTTGTTAGTACACACTCGTTATAACCTAGGTCTAACCTAACCTTACCTACTGTAGACCATTTTATTTTAAATTTATTGTGATGATCTACATGTATATTATGTTCATAGGTGATCCGGATAATGGAAATCAAAATTTAGGAATTACAGCTATGCAAACGTTATTCTTAAGGTATCATAATTATCTCGCTTTTAAACTGTCAACTATAAATCCTTATTGGTCAGATGAAATGCTTTACCAGGAATCTCGCAGAATAGTCATTGCAACTATTCAACGTATCGCCTATAAAGATTTCTTACCTATAATTATCGGTATGTATAATTTAATATATTTAATCATWTAGCACAATTTATTGAAATTTAAAAATATTAAAATATTTTGTTGTTATTATACTGTATTCATAGGTGGATAGGCCTACCGGGCAACCAGACAATTCCCGGTGGGCCCCCCTTCGTATTTCTGTAATGGGGCCCTTTAATATCATATATTATTAAATTTTTTTCATGTGGAGGCCCCTTTTTAAAATTTTCTGGTAGACCAAAAATGACCTATCCGCCCATGACAGTAGTTCAAATTAGTAAATATAGGTAATAAGTAGAAATTAATTAATATTTAGCATGTAAGAAATTAATGTAAATAATTATGTAACGCCAGCTAATGCATGTGCACAGTTGATGCCTCAAACAATTAATAAAAAAAAAAAATTATACTGTATTTAAATTTTGAACAGGGGAAGATTTTCTTGAAATATATGGATTAAATGAAGTGAATATTTATGACCCTGCCATTAATCCTTCTACGTCGCAAGAATTTTCAAGCGCCGCTCTTCGAGTTCTTCATTCGATTATACCTGTTCAATTCAAGTATTTTTTTTTACCAATAATAATATTATAGATACAAGGTGATAATTATTCAAAAGTTATATAGGTATACATTTTCTTAACGTGTATTAATGCTTTTAGAAATATTTATTGAGATAATTTCTAGTCATATTGCAATATAAAAAAATAAAAAAATATTTTTTAATTTTTGTAAATTGCTCATTTTTGTATACGAAAGCAAACTTTTTTACCTTCATATTCCAAAGTTGAACTATTCAATGAGAATTTAAATTCATAAAAATCGAATTTCCAATGAAAAAGATTGTTAGTTGTTTTAACTTACTTTATAAGTGTTTTGACACTTTAAACTTTTAAGCTTATCAAGCTTAAACAAGCGAAGTAGTATCGAACATTTAAGATATAATTGTATTACTMCATCCGGATCATCTAAACTTTAAACTAATTAATTTTTTTATTTGAAATTTCTAGAAACATATTTAGCTTCAAAAAAATTAAAAATTAAAACGATATAAGAAATATCAGTTTTTTCATCATTGTGGTTTTTATGACTTCAAATTATTTTAAAAATTTATTTCCAAAATCTGAATACTATTAAGCATATAAATGTTYACTTTAAAAATAATTACACTTTTTAATAGATAGGTACTGAACGTAATTAATAAAAATAAACTAATATTGAATTTTTGGTAATAGTTTTATRAATAAAGATTATGAAACAGAATTTTCGATTAACATTACGGATTGGATGAGAGAATCAAACTTGTTACCTTTACAAAATAATTTTGACAAATTACTCAAAGGATTTTTGGAGACACCTGGTCGATTGTCTCAGCCATCGTACAACTTTTATGTAATTATACTATTTTACAATTTTATATTATATTATTTTGTGTAAAATATTAAATTAATATATTTTTATTTTATAGATATCCAACTTTATGCTCGCTAAATTTAATGAACCTCCATATACAGGACGTGATTTACTGACAATTGATATTGTTAGGGGTCGTGATGTGGGCTTACAGCCATACAACTACGTCAGGCATTTTTGTGGACTTCCATTGGCGAATGATTTTGAAGACTTAGTAGATCWGATTCATATAAAAGTATAGTTTATCATCAAATATATACATATTATAGTTGTATATATTAGTTATATATAATATAGTATAAAATATTGTAATTCTAATCTATTTTAGGATATAATGAAACTAAAAGAGCTTTATAACTCAGTCAACGATATTGACTTAATGGTCGGTATTTTATTAGAAAAACACAGTGATGGTGCAATTGTGGGTCCGACGGCACGATGCATAATTGCCGATGGTTTTTATCGATACAAAGCTGGGGATCGATTTTTCTACGATGTACAAGGACAACCTGGCAGTTTTACTAWTGGTGAATAAATCAAATCCACATAGTACTATAAAAATAATACTCAATATAGTAATGCCTATTAATATAATATATTCGTATTATTATGTCTTGTCGTACACTGTTTTTTGAATTGTAGTGGAAAGAAAAATTAATTCGAATACGAGTATGTACAGACAATGTATTTTATTATTATGAACGAAATTGGTTTATTATGGCTTTAAAGTGTATAGAGCTTTTTTTTTTTGTAAAAAATACTGGTATTTTTCATCAAGTGTATTTAAGTCGTTGTTTTTAATACTACGTTAAAATTTATTAGTACATTTAATTTAAATAATATTCATAGTTGTTTCTATTTAAAATAAATAATCATTGATTTTATTGATAAGTGATAACTGATCAAAAAATATCAACATTGTATAAATAATATTACTATACTTCATACCACTATAAATTGGCAAATATTTTCGACATAAATCATTATATAACAAAAAGTTCTGTAAGTATATGTTGATAATAAAAATGTACTTATAAATTATAATTATATAAAAATGACACATTTTAAAATTAAAAATAATAAATAGTCGCTTCGAATATTTTTTATTATTAGTATTTTACCAATACGTCAACTATGATGAGTTCTAACGTGATTTGATAAGCATCGAAGAACACTTGTAGGCTGTAGCACAAGGTATAGATAGCATATAAAACTGATTAAAAAACTTAATTTTAAAAATTGGCAGCGTCAGATTTAAAAATGGATAGCATAGAATAACTGATTTAAAAAATAGTTGAATTAATTTTAAATTATTATTAATTAATTTGTCTAAAATTTTAAATTCGAATTTTTTGTTTATTTMAAAAAATTGTAAAATACTGGATTATATGATTAATATATGATGTAATAATAAACATCATAAATTATAGAAATTAAATAATGCATTAGAGACATACGATTTTATATGATAAATWAATTAAACGTTTTCTAGATCAATTAAATGTTATTCAGAAAATTACTTTTGCCCATGTTATCTGTGCAACTTCAAACGTGGACGACGTACAAAATGACATTTTTAAAATAATCGATCACAAGTAAATATAAAATATAAAAATGTGTTTTTTTATAATATTAATTTATAATATTTTTGTAATATTAAATGTGTTTTAGCTTATTTCCAACAAGCAAACTGAAATGTGACGAGTTCTATTTGGATTTAAAAGAATGGGAAGAATTAAGCGACAGATTAGATTTGTAATTCAATCAATATAAATGAATATAGTTTATAAAAATATTTTTTATAAGACTATAAATTACGTTTTTTTTTYMWTWAWTTTTWAAWTTTTTTTTTATTATTAACTTCTTGAGGTTTTCTTTAAAATTATATTTGAGTGGTACGTAAAAATAATATTCACCAAATCATAATACTGTATAACTATGAATTGAGTTTAGTAGATAAAATTATATAAGGATGTAAACTAAATAGATGTCTGAACATAATTTAAAATATATTTAATGTATTAAGTATTGGTATTTGAAAATCGTGTTTCATATTATATTATGGTAAAAACAATTACCAATCACCATATTATGTATTCATTATTGATATATGTATAGGTAGGTATATACCAACATAATAGTTTAATTTAATACTATAATAATATAAATTGAGTAATTTTTTTTATTATGTTTGTTACAGCATCAATATCATGGGATATAAGGGATTTTTACAATGAAGCTTAATAATAATGTAAATTAGGTTAAATTAAGTTAAACATTTTAATTTTTTTTTAAATGTGATTATTTTTTCTATGTCAGCATAGTATTTCTTTTCTGGCCTCCCTGAAAATTTGGAAGTGGATTATGATGTGTTTAACGGTAATGATAAAATTTTAAGAGTGGCATGTAGTGAATTCGGTCTTTTCCATTAGATATCCATGCATAACTCTCGTGTGGCTAATTCTAAGTCAGTTCATGATTACTTAAATAGTTGAGTTTAGGTCATGGCTCGACTTGTGTTTGATTTCCCTTAATTTGTTTTTAGTAATTTGTCGCCAATCTGAGTCCCATAATTGTATGCAATATTTGTCAACATTCTTGATTATATCTACTGGAGAAATAAGTAAAAGAGTTAAATTGTGTTAATTATATCACATCTAAAATGTATATTTCAGTGACAAACACTAAAATAGTCGATYGTCGATCGCAGACGGTTAGTTAGTCTTGAATCAGGTTTTATTTTGTATAGGTAGTTTAAGTGTTCTAAATAGTACGTGCACATAATAATAATATAAAATCGTGGATTAAAACATATTATTGTAAGTACAAAATGTACTTTAATCGTTATTGCGGGGCAGTACTATTTATCTGCCAGATATAATAGTAATAATACAAAAAATACAAAAACAAAATAAACTGAATATTTTGATACGTATAAAAAGTACGAATGTATTGCTGGTAGAAATATGTAGAAATATGTAGAAAAGGACAAAAGATAAGAAACGTGTTAGTTCAACTGAACATGTTAAAAAACCATACGTGGGAGCACCGGTTGATAAAGTGCAAGATTACAGCATCTTGTYCATAATTCCAGCCTTAGATCATATGATACAAGTTTTAAGTATATGAAACATAAGGACTGCATCACTTTATAAACTAGGCACCACATATATTATCATCATTATAAATATTTAAAGTTTATATTTTAAATATATATATGAATATAGATACATTAAGATTAAGAAAAATATGGTTGCGTAACGCTGAAGAGAGCAACCAGTTTCCCCGTAGTCCACGGTATAGATCAGGGGTCTTCAACCCACGGTCCAGTCTGTCAGTATATGCGGCCCGCGATCACATTTTAAATTTAGCATGTACATTTTATAGTTCAATAAAATTATAACAGTTAAGCTATCGTTATCGGAAATATGCGATAAGATAAATTGAATTACCTACCAAGATAAAACTATTATTGTCTGTTAGTTCGTAATCGTGGAACAAGCACAATATTTTCATTTATGTGTAAAAGTTTCAATTTCATACTTTTTCTTCGTAATATTTGTACAATATGTCAATTGTCAACAAGATCCAACCAAATATCGAAAAATTAGTGAGTGAAAAACATTGCTAGTTTTCACATTAAAAATAAAATAAAAAATTTGTAATTAAAAAAAAAAATGTTTAACTATATATGTTTTAATAATAATAATAATTTGTTATTTTAAATGTACCTACCTAATTTTAAAAATTGTAATAATAAAACTAAATTTTTATATAAAATACTTACATGTTTTTACTACGAATGCGGCCTGCAAGATTTAAAAAAGTAATATGTGGCCCGCTGCATAAAAAGATTGAAGACCCCTGGTATACATTGACCAGTACCTACCTACGATTTCTAAACGAAAACATCAAATAATTTATTACACAACTTCCAGTCTCCGGTTACCTGTTTCCGAAACGTTCGGTTCATTCCGACATACCACTACGGCCGGTGTGGCGACGTTACTGTCGTGGAATCAACATTATGAACATAAAAACATGTAAATTGTATAATATGAATAATGAAACCAACTCAGGTTAAAAACATCCAGAAAACTCAACGGAAAATATATAAATGTAAATGCTATTTACTCAAAGTAATACAAGAGACTATGTTTAGGCATTTTTTATTTAGAACCCAAATATCTACTGATTTAATATCTAGAATCTAAAAAAAGTATGATAAATTATTTTATTACAATTAGGTATTTGAGTATTTCTTATTTTATTATAATATACAGAGTGCTTCATTTAAGTAGATACACTAATTATCTCGAAAAGTATTAATTTTTTTGCATTTTTATTTTAAACTTCTATGTTTATGTCTTTCTAAAACCGTATAATATTTAATTATTTTCGTCCTTTCATTTATTGGTGAAATCACTATCAACTTTTGATTTTCAAATGGTAACATATAATAAAAATATCATGTATTAATAATCCCAATTTTAATGTGAATTTACGTGTTGACATTTTTATTTTTCGTTGATTCGTTTGTGAGATACATTTTCTCAAAGTATTTGTGGTTTTCAAAATGTTTTCAATAATTGTAAAGACCAGAAGTTAGTCATACATTTGATATCATTGAACCCAAGGTAATAACATAAGTAACAATTAATTAATGATTGCCATTGTACCTTTTGAACCCTAATCATTTATTAACTTATTGACTAATTGGACATACCGAATTACCCAAGAATAATAAATGATAAACTGGAAATATATTCTGACAAAATTATTTTAATCACAATTTCACTGATAACTATTTAAAAATTAAAATGGTAAGTATCACCACAAAATTATATCTTATTTTCACTACCTAATCACGTATTACCGTGACTGGTAATACGATTATAATATCATGCAAAAAGTAAATAATAAATACCTATATTTAGGCACAGAACAATAATTTAGGGGATAATAATGCGCAATTGTCACTATTTATGATAGTCCTATCAATTATCTTAAATAATATTATTCTGTGATATTGTGAATGATATGCATGTTGTATGACAATAGTAGAAAATATAATAGAATAATAGGTATTATAATTTTACAGAACGATTGAAGAATTTAATTAATTACTTATCTAAAATAGAGTTATACAGTTACACGATTTGAACATCTTATAACTTTTTTTTTATTGTACAAAAACTAATATCAAATAAATGTAGTGATATAATTTGATTAACAATTAATTCGGAATCCCAAGAGTCCAAGACCATTAATAAACAAGGATTGTTTAACCTACTATTGTGATACCTACATATTCACACATATGTTTATATATTAAAAACAATGAATAACAAAAAAACATAATAATAATCAATAGGTACCTATTGTACAATAACTAAAAAAATAAACTAGGTATAATAAACACCAACATTTTATAAAAATAAATTTTTGTGTTTGAGATCTTAAAAAATTGTCTATAATAAAATTTGAACACAATATTTTTTATATTTATCTTGTGGTTCGAAGATATATAAATATATACAATATACTTAATAGCAATACAGTTTATTAAGAAACTACTCGTAATAAATAATTACATAATAAATGATAAAATTTTTTTTTAATAACATAATATTATACAGGTGTATGCTGGCATTAATTTCAGATGTTTTATGAAAAATTGAAGGGGCTCATATTACTCATTTGTAAAATCTCTTCAGATATACACACAAATCTACCTAAGAAATTATTTTATACACCTAATAAAAGTCTAAAAATGTAATTAAATTCATATTACAGGAGGTGACTTGAGCAATATTGAAAATATTATTCTCACAATTTAACATTATTTTAGTAACTATATTTTTTCAGTATAATATTTATTTAAATTTTACTTTAACATGTATAGTCGTCATATATACATATAACTGATATGTTTTATTTTTATGATATACCTTTTAAAAAGTTTATTTTTTTTTTTAAATTTCTATTAAAAACTATTTCACATTAGTTTTTAGTTAACTGTAACAAGTCAATAATTATAATTTTAAATATACATAATATAGTACCTTACCTATAAATAAAGGTTAAATTTTAAAACTTTTCTTCACTCATGTTATTTAATTAAAGACGGTTTAATTCAAAATTGCAAATTCTACATATTACCCCATATTATATAATTATGAATATTGTTAAAAACAATAAGATAATATGTAGGTAAACAACTTAGGTACCTATTTCAATATATCATGACTGAAGTCACCCCATTTTATATTACTATTATTATGAGTCACTACAAAAGGCATTTGTATAGCAGGTGATCTACCAATTTACTAGAAGTGATCTACCACAGGATTTAGACATGTAAAAATATACATTGTACATAGGTATTAGGTATAAAATATATTTCACCGTTTATTATTAAGATATTTTTTTTTAGGATCATAAAATCAAATTAGAATTCAATTGAAAATACACAGTTTACTGTCATTGAGACTATTACAACGGTATAAAAATTATATTTCTATTATTAGTATATTATAGGTGTAATAAGACATTCTACTAATCAGGTACAAAGTAAAACAGTTTTCAATATTGTTACCTATTATTAGGTCGTACGGTATCGTATTTATCGGTTATAGCTCTCTGGACTTTACAAATGATGGAATAGTATAAGCATACCGCATTTACCGACTATAATACCTCCTTCAAACACCAATACTTTGAGGAGCTGTAACTCGCAAACCAATTAACGAAATATAAAAATGCGTAAATTTATAATAAAAATGGTTTTATTAGTTCATGATATTTTTATTATATGTTACCATTTGAAAATCAAAAGTTGATTGTGATTTCACCAATAAATATAAGGGTAAATAAAATTAAAATATCGTACGGTTTAAAAAAAACATAAACCTAGAAGTTAAAAAAAAAAAATTAAAAAAAGTTAATACTTTTCCAAATAATTAGTGTACCTACTTAAATCCTCCTGTATATATATTTGTTCCTTAAATTTCAATAAGAATAAAGTAACTTGTAATTTCTTGCGTATTTTCATCACTTGAATTCAATTTTTTATTCATCATTTGGATTGAGAATAAAATAAATAAAACAACATTTAAACGCCTTATTGGTGGGGGTCAATGATTTTTAAAGCCGAAAACGAACACACAGTATATGATTGGATCTGAGGTACATCAAACGTATTCTCTAGAGATATTATATTGAATACTTTTGTATAGTGTAAAGTGTAAACCGTAGCTACTATAGTTAGAAACATATTATTATTATTCCAAGAATCATTACATATAGCTTTATTTTAATAAATATGATATATCTTTATTCTTTTAGATGGTAATTTTAACTAACAATCAATATTTTAATCTCTTTCTAAAAAAAGCAATATTTTTAACTTAACAGAAAATATTACAATAAGATGAATATATTTTCTCCAAGTGAAGAAACACAGTGAGTATGAAATCATATTATTATACATTTATACATCGTGATACGCACATTAAATATAATACAAATGGTCCAAATAATTCTAAAAAATCCCTTTGTATATTCTAAATAATATTAACGATATAGATTATTTTTATCATTTCAGATCGTTGTTAAAAAACAGTCGTTTGAATATGAAATGGAATAATAAAGTGCTCAAGTGGACTTTTACAATAGTCTTGATTGGTTTGTTGTTACTAGGTGCTATTTATCTAGTGGGCATTTTTAATAAGAATAGAATCCAGCTGGAATCTAATTCAACTATAAAGGTGTCTAATCTATAATTATAATACTTATAATAATAAATAATATTTTTGAAATTACTACAAAATAACTAAAAAGTTATTTTTTACTTTTGAATCAAAATTAGAACTTTAAATTATTATATATTTATTTCAATATTAGTATAACTTATTATAAATGTTATATTGAATGAGAAAATTCATTGACCTAGTAAATGAAAAAAACATTTTTAATGCGATAAAATCTAAATAATGTTCGAAGTTTTATGTTTAAATAATAATTTTTATATGAATAAGTCGTTATTATACGTTTGAATTATACTTCAAACATTGATAAAAATGTAATGTTACTTTATGCTAAATTGTATGTTAATTTTTGTAAAATAAGCTTATAAAAAATCTTGTATTACCTAGTAGCTACATTAAATCGAAAATATACTAAAAGAATATCAATTTTAAATACAAATAAACATAGTATACAAAAGACAAAATATATTAAATTATGTCATGTGTAATTTTGCAGTGTGTAGCCAGTATTTTTTTCAGATGAGGTAGAGGGAAGTTTACAATAATTTATTGCTAGGGCTAGGGCACTACTAATACTAGTAATACTACCACGGGTATAGTAAGCTTTATATTTCAGAGAGCTTGAACCCTTAAGCCCTTATGGCAGTGTAATTATGTTTTTTGTTAAAAATTAATCGCTGAATCCAAGGTAACTAAATAAATCCTATTAGCCCAGTTAATCGATAAGTTAAAAAATGATTAGGGTTCAAAGTAAAAAAGTAACTCTTAATTAATGCCATTTATATTGTTATCTTTGATTCAACGATATCAAATCTATTACTAGCTCCTCGTCTTTACAATTATTGGAAAAATAGTAAAAACCACCAATACTTTGAGGAGCTGTATCTCAAAAACCAATAAACGAAAAATAAAAATGTTAACACGTTAATTCATGAAAAAAACTGGAATTATTAATTCATAATATTTTAATTATATTCTACCACTTGTAAATAAATAGTTGATAGTAGTTTTACCAATAAATATATAAGGGTGAAAAAAATTTTAATATGTTACGGTTTTAGAAAAACTTAAACCTAAAAGTTTATTATTATACCTCTGAAACAAGTTATAAGTCTGTTATACACTTATACTCCAACAATTACACAAATGCTACCATATACATTTAAGTCACATACCTATTGTTATTACAGAAAAAAAATTCACTACACATCATAAGTATTGCAACCACAAACGATGATTTCCTTAAGAAATGTGCTCCTCGTGTGAAATGTGATCCAAATGGCAAATATAGAAGTGCAAATGGATCTTGTAATAATTTAGAGACTCCCACATGGGGTGCCGCAAAAACACCATTTCTTCGTATGATCGATGCTAATTACAGTGACGGTAATAGATTTTTTTTTTATTGTACCTTTGTGTTTTATGATTGTGGTCATTTTATAAATTTGTGTGGCACCAAAAGAGTTACCATTACACCATCGTGTTGAGGCTAGTATAGTAAAATATTGTATTTTTCTGACCAATTTCATATTATAGTTGTCATGGAAACCAAGCAAAAACAAAGATAATATTAATGTTATAAAATTGGGTTACTTCCAGCAACCAATATGATTAATAATAATAGAATTACGTTACTATAGCAACCTCATTATACTTTTTAGATTTTATAAGGGCAGCGATAATAATTCATAATTTATAATTATATTAATTACTTTTTACTTCCTATGTAATCAGTAGCTGCATGCCATATACATTATACATGTACAGACGTCATTACTTGAAGTGTGGATACTCTCTCCCACCAATTTTTATTTAAAAAATGTATACGAGTGTTTACAAAATTTGGAAACACTTTAAGTACCTAGTTTGCATATTTGTATAGTAACATGCATAATATAGCATTAATATATTATATCACTATTCACTACTGACATTTATTAGGTAAAATATTAAATCACTTTATTAATTATATTAAACTATCGTTTATTTGGCCTAAAATTAGTCTAATGGGTGTTTTTAAATTGTTTGAATACCCTGTATAGTCAAGGACATGGTTATAAAATAAATAAAATACCTAGGAACTCGCAAGTAAGCAGTTAATAGTAAACTAATATATTTATCTATTAAGATTGTTTTTTGTTTCAAGCCCATTTCTTAAACTGAAAGTAACAAAATTTATGTAAATAATTATTATAATTTTGTTAGTTAATTTCTCAATAGTTCTGTTCTTGTTTGAGTACGGAATAATTATTTCCCACTCCTTATACGAATATTCTTCAGTTTTCCATGAGTGGCGTGAGTTTTTATCTATTAACTAACTTCTACTGTAATTTGGGCCAAGTCCGTATTTAATAAATAAACAATAATAAAAAAATAATTTTAGCTTTTCATCAATACTTTGAATTATCAATGTTCAGAAATTGTCTAAAAATTATCATAAGGCATGACAAATCATAAAAATCAGCTTAAAATGCAAAATATTAATTTATATTTATTTAGGCTATTATGCGATACGATTGCAAACAAATGGAAGTGCATTACCTAGTGCAAGGATGATAAATGTTAACGTTTTTCTGAATCATGAAACATATCACGTTGACGAAAATAATGTACTCTTATTTCCATTTGCACAATTAGTAGCCCATGACATATCGGGTATGCCAAATGATGACATATTAGGAGAGAATGGTAAGTTAATATTTTTCGACCAACTTAATTTTTTTAAATTCAATATTTATACCTAGTAACATTTTATCAATCACTTAAATTAGGCTTAGCAATTGATTGTTGTTCGGCTGAAAATAAAAAAAAGAAATATGCACAATGTTATTTGATTTTGGAATCACCTGATGATCCTGTTTATAGTGCTTTTCATACAACTTGTACTGGTTTATTCCGAGCAAAGACATCAAGGAATTACAATTGTTCATTGTACCCCACAACGTTTGTAAATATAAAAATGCTATTTAAGTTAACTATAATTATTATGCAGTTATCTCAATATTATACATAATATATTACTGCTTCATTATCATTGAATAAATTATTATTTTATATTGACTGTTTTACATAAAAAAAATATAATATAACAGACATTAAATAAACTAAATTACGTTAGCAAAAGCAAATAATACGAGTAATTAATATTTCAATAAACCATACTAATATTCAAAGGCAATTAAATTTTGTAAATTAATAAATTACATGTTATATTATTTTGAATGTTTATTTGTTTACACGATATACTGATAGTATAATTTTAAAAGAATATTTACATAAATATATAAGATATACAAATATACTTACTTCAATCTAATAATATCTTAAATGAATTCAAAGGATTCTATCGCTATAAATTTAGTGTATATGTGCATGCTAACCTAATAGTTTTAACTTTTAATGTTAATGCAAGAAGTTCTATTATTTATATACTACAATAACAACTATATTTAAATATCAGATCAATACCAATTCACATTTTATCGACGGGTCTGAAGTATATGGATCAAATGAAGATGATGCGCTGAAACTTAGAATTATGCATGGTGGAAGACTGAATTTCTCAATTGGTGACAATGGTCAAATGTTCTGTCCTCTTATAGCGAATAATATAGTTAAGGAACTACCAATCGGAAGTCAAGATAGCGGTATTAAATATGATACAGGTTAATATAATTTATTATATTTGTGTGTATGTAACACGTCGATATTTTTTTAGTATAAAAACTGGACTTGGACTACTCGGTGGTGGGTTAGGTGGGGTAAATGCTTACAAAAATACATTTTTAAGAATTTGAACTTTTAAAATAAATGATAAAATAAAAAAATTTCCTTCTAAGTTAATACTGTCACACTTTAAATCTGACATCAGATACGGTTACAAAAGAACTGAAATACCTAATTTTAATTTTACTAACCTCAAGATTATGATAAATTAGAAAGTCGTGATGTATAAAAATATACTATTATTAAAATCATCTACTAAATTTACTTTTTACATCGTGGTTGAACTTGTGAGATTGAAATATTTTTATTTTTTTGAACTTAAAAACATCAACAGCAAAAGTTATTAGTTTTTTGTTTATAATACACAATGAGTGATTTCTACAACTAAAATTTTACAATTAATATGGTGTTAAATTTGTGAGATTTCCACTAACATTTATATTTTGGTTATCGTTAACAGAAGATTTAAATTGTATTGTTAGGTTGGGTTTTCTTAGGAAAGCTAACATCTTTGCGATTTTTTTCTATKCCTGGTGCTAATACTTCATTCATATTAATGGTTAATGAATGATTTATTTTCTGTTATCACCTTTTGGGACAGTACAGAATGCTTTAGACTTATATTTAAGGATATTTCCTGGTAAGATTCAATCTATTTGGTATTTTGAGAGTCCAAAAATAAAAAATTTTCTGTAGTTTTCAGAAGTGTCTATAGTCTATACAAATATAGACAATCGTTTAAAATAAATTTAAATGTTTTGAAAACATCAAATTCATGAAAATAAAAAGATTTGAAATATTAAGAGGATGTCGTAGTTGCATAATGTTATGTTGTCTTCATTTTACTAACACATAATACACCAATATTTGAAAATGCTTTATAATTCAATTAAAATATAAAAAAATCTTTAAAAACCAACGAGAGATTATAGATGTTGATTTTACTTATAAGATTGATAAATAGGTAAATTCACTAAAATATTTTAAGTTAAAATTTATACAAAACAATTGGAACTGTTAAATGTTAATTTTTAAATATCAAACGTTAGTGAGATGGAAAATTCAGGGTGAGTGAGAAGTTTTCTTAGTACTAAATATTTAAACCTTTTTTTAATTCCTGCACTTTTCTTTATAATAGGGAAATATTACTTGAAACATTCTGTTATTACCTAAATTATAGTATTTCAAATATTTAGACTAAATTTAATCTATTTATAGCATTTCAAATTATAAAATTTGTTTACTATTTTTTTATTAGGTTTTGTCAAAAATCTCGAAATCTTAATTAATAGTATATCTCACGAAAGTAGTTCATAAAGAATTTTAAAAATATAAAAATACGTACAGGCGCCCAGGAACAATATCTGCTACAAATAATATACATGAATAATATTTTTAGGATTAAGGAAAATTAAGGGAATCATAAATATTATGATTATGAATGCAATGGAAAAATGTATAGTAGCATATATGCTACATTTTGCTATATATTTAATTTTTTTAAGTGTTAAAAAATCGGCCTTCTAATAATCAGTTGGAAAAAAATATTGTACCTACTCAACCCAAAATCATATTTATATTAATAAATAATAATATTCAACATATAAACGTGGTCATTTTTTTACTTATCCACATACATTTTAAATTTAAATTTTGACCAAGTTTGATAGGTGTAATGTAAACAAAAAAATAATGGTTTTAGGTATATGAACTATTTAGTAATTAAATATTAATAATGGTTACAATAAATGTAATGTTTTTCGGAAAAATAATTAATTTTACCATATTACCTACCTACTAATGATTAAGAAATAGTTAATTATTAATTGCGCATTGTAAATATACCATTAGCTCAGAATAGTTTTTCTCGTGCAATGGTTTATCATTAAAATATAAATTTAACACAATATTAATTACCGTAACTTACTCAGTAATGAAGTACAACTCGAAACCTACTGTACAATAAAACAGTAATGTAACCAACTTAAGCGCTTTTTCTTATTTTTTAGAAGAAAAATATATTAACATTTTTAAAGTAGTTTACAAAAGATTTTTCAAATTATAAATTTTCTAGTTTCTCACCATGTATTGATTCTTTGGTAATTTCAATCTTACATAGTTGTAAAAGTTGAATTATCTACTGTAACAATGATTAACTGCAGCCTATAGAAACAATTATCTAAAGTAAACTATTAAATATTTTTACAGGAGATCCAAACAATGGCAATCAAAATTTAGGAATTACTGCAATGCAGACCTTATTCTTAAGGTTTCATAATTATGTTGCTTTAAAGCTCTCGACTTTAAATCCATTTTGGTCTGATGAAATTGTTTATCAGGAGTCAAGAAGAATTGTCATTGCAACTATTCAACGTATCATATATGAAGATTTTTTACCAATTATTATTGGTACCTAAACATTTAACATTATATTTTTAAGAATGTTGGCAGTAAAATATATCGTACATTTTTGTAGGAAACGATTTTCAAGAAATCTATGGATTAAATAAACCAAATATCTATGATCCTAGAATAAATCCCTCGACGTCTCAAGAATTTTCAACTGCTGCTTATCGAGTCCTACATACAATTATACCAGCTCAGTTAAAGTATAATATAATAAAATAATTAATAATACATTTTAAATTATTGTTTAAATTGAAAATAAAATTAACTAAGCAATTAATTTTGTATTTTTAAATTTAAGTTTTATRAACAAAAATTACAAAATAGAAAATTCGGCAAAAATTACTGATTGGATGTTAGTTACCGACCCTGTATTTCCTATTGATAATAATTTCGATAAATTATTAAAAGGGTTTATAGAGACTCCCGGTCGAATTGCTCAACCTTCTTACAATTTCTACGTAAGTTTATCATTAAATTATTATAATATTTAATATTATGATTTTATTATTTGTATTTTATTTTATTATTGAGATAAATAATTGTATGTTTGTAATTAACACATAAAGATCCTATATAAGCATGAAGTGACATATCAAATATATTTGTATTTTAATTTTTTAGATATCCAACTTCGTGTTCCCTACATTGAACAATGCTTTATTAGCAGGACCTAACTTACTCGAAAATGACTTTCTTTATACACCTCAGTTCAATGGTCGTGATATGCTATCAATTGATATTGCAAGGGGTCGTGATGTAGGCCTCCAACCATACAATCAGGTCAGGCATTTTTGCGGATATCCATTGGCCAAAGATTTTGATGACTTGGTGGATCTCATACACATAAAAGTAGAGTATATTATCAAAGAATTTAAATTATAATATTGCAATATTATAAATTTTTATCTTGATACATATTATATAATAATATATTTATTATATTTATTTATTTATACTTATACGGATGACCAGCAAATATAAAAAATAATAGTTTAATTGTATTGAGTAGTACATAAAACATTTTATAGAAACTAATATTTTTTTAAATTATTATTTCAGGTTATAGCCCAATTAAAAGAACTTTATAACTCAGTGGATGATATTGACTTAATGGTAGGTCTTTTATTGGAAAAACATAGTGACGGTGCAATTGTGGGTCCAACAACACAGTGTTTAATTGCCGATGGTTTTTATCGATACAAAGCTGGTGATCGCTTTTTCTACGATGTACGAGGACAATCCGGTAGCTTCACCGATGGTAAATAAATCATAAATATAATAAATATTAGGCAATATGCATTTATGGAAAATCTTAATCATTTATTAGATCAACTGAAAGAGATTAAGAAAATTACTCTCGGTCATGTCGTATGTGCTACTTCAAACGTAGATCATGTACAGAAGGACATGTTTAAGATGGTCGATCACAAGTAATTATAAAATTATTTTCATAAAATTCCCACATAATTTTGAAAAATATTTGTTATGTTTTAGTTTATTTCCTACACTCAAACGAAAATGTGATAAGGAGTTCCATTTGGACTTTAAAGACTGGGATGAATCAAATGGTCGACCAGAGTTGTGAATTGATCGATTTAAAATAGATATTTGTTGTATTTAAATATATACATATATAATTTATTATGTGCCTATAAAGTATAAAATATATATGGTTAATTTTTAAAATGTATATTTGACTATGAATTAGCAGAAAAATAATATAAAAATTAAATCCAAGAATTTCAAACAATATTACAGATTTGAGAAAATTTTAAATTCACAACTGTATTCTCCAAACTAACCATCTTTACTCTGTATCCTCCAGTGTAAAATTGCTTATCGTCTTATCCTCTCTACTCAACTTCTTATTTTCTTGTTTCTATAAAATAATAGTTAACAAGAATTTATAACAAGCACAAAACAATCAAATTGATAAAATAATATTTCTTAAAATTGAATTCAGTGATAAATGCAGCATATGAAGTACGATCTTTAGAATTTACGATGATGTCAGCCTCTGCTTCTAAGATTATTTTATTATTTATTTATCTAATACTATTTGTTATTCTTTTTTTTTTTTTAAATTAATATGGTAAATAAAATTATTTATGGTCAAACAAATGGATAAGAAAAGGAACCAAACTTAACAAAATAAAACAAGAACGTTGGAAAAACATAGCAAATCTTAACAGAAAAGAAGAAGTATTATTAACACGTCTAAGAATAGAAGACACTCGCTTCACACACGGTTACCTAATGAGTAAAGAAGAACAACCCAGGTGCACAACATGCGGAGTTCACTTGAYTATMAAACATATACTMRTCGAATGCAGACAAACAGAAGATGCAAGAACCAAACACAACATCCCAGAATTTCTATGCCAATCATTAGGTCAAATAACGTATCAGCCATCAAACAGACACTAAACTTCATAAAAGAAACTGGAATCGAAAATTTATTGTAAACAAATAATATAAAATAATATGTAAAAACAAAACTACCTATGTAAAACAATTATATAAAACAATGCAAACAATGTCAGCCAATAGCCACCACTGCCGAGGCTTATAACTAATAAAAAAAAAATTATTTATATAATTATAATATTATTATTATTATTAATATTATTATTATTATTAATATTATTATTATTATTTATAGAATATAACTTATTAGGCAATGCTGACGCACAGCGAATAGAACAACGTAAATCGTTTCATGGTATTTAATATTTCTTTAATAAAGTTAWATTTTAAGCCTTAAGTTTCTACAATGTATATCTTTTAGTTTAATACAGAATATAAAAATACATTTGAAGAGAATCGTTATTTTGTATTTAAATAATTGATACCTATCTAATTACTATACTTACTTGATTAATAATCCAGAACATAAGAATGTTAACGATGTATTTTCAATAATATTTAATTGCTTATAGAACTAATAATAATAAACTTTATACTAAATTMTCAGGCTTTTATACTTACAAATTAAATTTTCAAACATCTATAAATAGTACAAAAAGAGTTAAAATATGTTGAAAATAAAGCATGTGAAAAAATACCAATTAAAATATTCTGTGAAATATTTTAGGCTCTGCAGTTATTTATTTTTCAATTAAAAAAAACAAAATTGATTTTGTCAAAAGCCTATATTTTTGCACAAATTCCAAGATTTTTCCCTATTATATCGATAAGTACTTGAAATATTTTACTCTCTCTTAAAGCATACAACGAATTCCAATTTTTAGATGGAAAACATTTTACTGATAAAAAAGGTTAGTTTGATTACCAACGCTTAAAAATAATTAAAAGGTGATCGATCAAGTGAACACCGCTTTGCTGTAAAATAGTTGTTGAGTACCTATATCGGAAGTTTGTAATTTGCACCAAATTAAAGATATGTAATTTGCACCACTGCAGATAGCCAAAAATAGAATTTGTAATTTGCACTAAAATGATTATTTATTTATTCGATTATCGAATATTCGATTTTGAAATATTCGATTTTTCCTCGGTATCTTCGTAGACGTCAAGACTAGATTATGATACGAATGACAACAATAATTTTAATAATAATAATAATACGATTTAATATCATATAATTTTTTTAATTTGCCAACTTTTTTTTATATTCATAATTATACAATTTTATATAAACTTAGTACTTACATCAATATGTGTATACGCTCAGCTATTTTATAAATAAAAACTAAGCTAAATTTATATTAGGATATAAAAACTTATAGGTTTGTATTATCGAAATACTATCGAAAAAATAATCGATTTTAATTTTGGTACAAATTACAATTCCTATTTCTTACTACCTAAGGATGGTGCAAATTACAAACGCATTTTTAAAAAAATGGTGCAAATTACACATGTTGTAAATATTTTGGGTCAATTTTGGTGCAAATTGAGTACAGTCCCTATATCATTGTAATGGATGTGATTTGAAATTAATGATAAATCGTTGAATACGAGACGATGTGTCATCCATACTTGTATAAATACTAAAATTTAATAATTAAAATAAGTTTCAAAACTTGAAAATTTTACATTGATTAAAAATATAAACAGGGTTACTTACAATAGTAACATTGCTAGAAGTAGAATCACTTGTAGGGAAACCTATTGAGTTTTCTAATATAAGCTATGAAACGAAAATTTTTAAACTAAAAAATTATTTGCAAATTTCTAAATCATATATTGATGACTAATAAGTAATAATAAAATTTTTAAATAAATGAATCTTCAATGTCAATCATAAAACATTACTGTGCATTTTACGATCAAATTTTTGTTTTTAATTACATTTATAACTTATTTGGAACCGTGTATATATATTCAAGTATTTTCGACAGTAATTGAATAAAAGCTTTTTTTTTAGAAATCGAAGTTTTCTTATGACTTAAAACGAGTCAATATACATTGAAATTTTTATCATACATGATTAGGTATGAGTTTTTGAGATACACAAATAAAAATCGATTTCGTGAAAATTGGTTTTACGTAAAAATTCTTGATTTTCATAAATTTTTTTGTTTTGATAATCCCAGATCTTTTGAAAACTACTCATCATTTTGACCTTTTTAATGCTCCAACTTAATTCACTTTCTAATCAGGAAAGATGCTGAACTAAAAATTGCTACGATCAACATTGACCCTTACTAAACTAATTCATTCATTGGTCCTCTCAGAATCTATTAAGTTATCTGAAATAAAACTTGTAAACAAGATTTATGATGTTAGTGTTATGATTTATATATAAATTATGTTTTGATTGAAAATATATAACGATATTAAATAACGGATATTCCATTAATCGATTTGAGGTCGACGTTTCGTCGAGTTGTTTATCTATTCTAAGATAKTTTATACTACTTCTTACATGCATTTTAAATTTTAATGTATACTTAAATAATATACTAATGAGTTATCGCTATCAGAGATTACCTTATTATGTAACAAATTAGCATTTATGAAATAAACTCGTAAGTACCTAACAACTTTTATTGATAAATTATTATTTTTTTAAAGTAATTATTTTTCTGACTATCAAAAGCCACAAACAATCTGTATTAAACTCATTTTAAAACTATAGATAAAAATGGTGATTTAAATGTTCTGTTCCCAAATACCCAATCATCCAATTAGTACTAATATTATTGTGTACTATAGTTATAACACATGTTTTCGATTTTAACTTTGAATGTTATAATTATTCAGAATACCATTATTATTTAATATTATATAACTTGTAGTTGATGGTGTAACAATAAAAAATAAAATAATAATATTTAAGCATAGTAAATCTTTCGATCTTATTTTCTGGAAACATTTATCTAAATTAATTATATATTCCGTGAGTTTGTAGAGAGCCGTAGCAGTGTAATTGTGTAGCCTCAATACAATGGATTATTCTCGTACAAGTGATGAAACCAAGTAAGTATTATAAATAATAATATGATTTTATTGTTCATTGTATAATTATAATATATGCATAAATCGTTCATAATATCAAAAATTAATTTCTATATAAACTAAAATGTTTGTCTAAAAATTAATAGATATAATATGGATATATATATATATTTTTTTTTTTAGCACTTTGTTGAAAAAAAGAAATACACAATACATGAAATGGAACCAAAAACTATTTAAATGGCCTTTCAATGTAATTTGGTTAATTGTTTTTTTGCTGTGTACTGCTTATGTCTTGTACATTTTCATAAACAATGATGTAGAATCGGAATCCAGCAATACACCTAAAGTAAGTCTCATAAAACTACACAAGTATTTATTTAATTAAAAAAATAAATATCAATTTTGTTTAGCAAACGTGAACTTACTAAATTTATTGAATTTTATTTAGTGAAACGTGTACTCGATAATGCATACAATTTATAATAATGATTAGGTAATTCAAATAACAATATTGTCTTCAGCTAATCAACTTTTATTAACTTAATCATTCATTTGCAACAATACGTATTCTATTAATAATATGTATAAATTAGAAATTATTTTTTTATTATTATTCTTGGTACTGCATCAACCATTAGGTTATTAGTTTATAACAGAGGAAATGATCATATTAAATATTTGACATATATTTTTAACTAAATGTTTAAAAATAACTCAAATAGCTTAATAGTAAATCTATAACAATTTTTATTCGCAAATAATTCATTAATAATTAATTATCTATAATTTCTATTAAAACTTTTGAAATGACTACGGTTATATTATATTCACACAAAAGGAAATCAATGAAACCGATAAAATCTACATAATATTAACTATACCTGAATGTGAAAAACATAAATCCTTGCAAATTAATTAATAATGATGAATGATGGTAAATAAAAGTGTTCTTGAGTACCTAAATAAAAATAGTTCTTTAACACTATTATATTTTACATGCACATAATATTGTAATAATGATTTAGTTTCTTATAATTTGATATTTATAATACCAAGGTACCTCCATTATATTGTAAATATTATATTGTATTGGTAACTAGTAACTCTGATAGTTTCATTGTTTTATACATAAATTATAAACCTACAACTGCATCAATATCAATCTAAATTTTATATTTTTACAGAATAAACATCCATTACACATCGCGAGTATTGCAACCACAAACGATGATTTCTTAAAAAAATGTGCTCCTATAGTTAAATGTGATCCAAACGCCAAATACAGAAGTATGAATGGATCTTGTAATAATTTGAAAACACCTACATGGGGCGCAGCAGCAACTCCATTTCTTCGGTTGCTTGATGCTAATTTTAGTGATGGTGAGACTATTATCATTAAATATTATAATAAGTTGATCTCGTGATTTGAAAAAAAAAAATTATTTTTTATTTCAACTATTTTAATTATTCTTAGCTCAATAAGAATTTATAATTTTTAAGGTTATTATGATTTACGAGTACAGACAAATGGAAGTGCATTACCCTACCCCAGGGTGCTAGACGTTAACATATTTCTGAACCGTGAAATATATAGAGTAGATGAAAATAATGTACTTTTATTGCCATTTGGACAGTTATTAGCCCATGACATATCGGGTATGCCCAATGATCTAATATTTAATGAGAGTGGTACGTAAAGATTTTACAATTATATTTATTTTTTTCATACCTGTAAATTTTAACC